AGACGCGTGCTGCGACGTCGTGCGTCATTGAAACTTGGCGGACAGAAGCCCGCGAGTACTTCGATGCGAATGGGGGCCGTCGCTTTGTCGGAGCGGGCTGCGCAGGAGATCAGCGGGGCGCCGCCGTCGTGATCCCTCGTGGATGGGCTCAGTCAGTCTGTCGTTGTGCTGTTGTGAATGACAGAGGTTAGCCTTTGATGGGCGTGGACATTGGCCCTCCTGTTAGCCCGTTTAGGTTTGCACGTTTCCGCGCGCCAGGTGCGCTGGCTTTCGCGCGCAAGCAGTCGACGGTGCGTTGACAGAACAGCTCAGGAATTGACAAAAACATGCCATGTCGATTCGGGCGTATACTTCGATGCGCAAGAAGGCAGTCGCATAGGTGCACGTGACCCTGGAGCGATTGGCACGCGGGGCATGCGGCTCGAAACCTCCAGAGGGCTGTGCCGCACCGCAAGCAGCGGGTGACTTGGGTGTCTTTCAGATTGTCCTCCATCTTGGCGTTGTCGCACGCGGGCAGCAAGGCGGCCCGCGTGCATCTGACCGCGCGCGGTCGTTCGCGCGCCAAGACATCGGCAGCGCCGCCGACCAAGCAACATGTCGCTAATTATGCAGACAGCCGTGGATCAATCAGTGACAGGGTGCAGAATGGTGGCGATATTTGGATAGGCGCCCAGACCGCGCTATATAGCGACATCTGGGGCCAGGTCGCATTGCCACTGGTTTCTCGGAGACGAGCGGCCATTGCAGTGATCTTGGAGACGGCGACGAATCTCTCGCAAAGAACTGTCGGCCCTTCGCGGAAATTCCTCGCGTGCTGTTCAACAAGTCGTCTCTGGTCTTGAAACAATAACGAAGTCCGTATCAGGCTGGGTTGCTTTGGATGCGTAGCGCGAGACCACCTTGTCACGTTTGCCCTGTTACGAGAGAGTGCGGATGGGTTCCAGATCCTTTTTTGGTTCGCCGCGCTCGACTCTCAGATGCCTTCCGAATCTGTTGCGGGCCGGGCTCTGTGGAATGCGCCTGCGTAGCAGGGCGTTCCGCGTCCATGCATTCAGTTCCTTCTAGAAGTTCCCCGAGAGTTCGCCTGGGCTCAGGTGCCGGCAGCCAGTGGTTCAAACGCCGCGTGGAACCAAACGCGGGGGCCAGTGCGTTCACTTACTCTCAACGCTCTACTGGAGGTCGTCATGCGTGATGCCAAGGGGTTTGCCGCTGTCGATGCTCGCCGACATGCGATTGGCTCATAATGTCGTGTTCGCGGCCAGAGCTCTCGACGCATCTGCGGCATGCGGCGCGGCGTTGGGGGATTGGGCGCCCGCGGGGGCCGTCGGGCGACTCCCGCGCCCAGGCAAAACCAAGATCATCGCGAAGGCGATCAAGGGCATTGGCCGTGGCAGCCACGCGCGCGCCGTACTCGTTGGAATGAATGTCAAGATTGTTCCGTTCGAGGGCACGGTCGAATATCCAGGCCGCGCGGTCGCCTGGGGTTGTCTCGCAGGCGCGAGATCGCCCGCCGAACCAGGCGAGAATGGAATGCATTCGTGCGCAACGGACAAGAATTAACCGCCCTTCATTTGTTCCCGCAGCCCTTTGCGGGATTTCGACGGCGCTGTTCGAGCCTGCAGCGTTATGCATGTCATCGAAGTGGACGAGTTCGGCAAATGCCGTTCATATCTTCGTTTTGAACAGTCTAGAGGTGGATGCTCTCGGTGGTTCTCGGCGCTGGGCGGCGCAGAGCGCGGGGGGGGCGCGGGCCCGCGGGCGGCGCGGTTATCGGGCGCGATCAGCGGCGATGCAAAGACGGTAGACTGGGTAGACGGGTGGGCGGGCTGTGACGGGCGGTCCATGTCCTGGAGCAATCATGAACGCAGTGGAATTTGTCTCTGGGGTGATGCTCGGAGACGCGGGGCCCGGTGATTCGCGGCCTGCGTGGGCCCTTTGGCGGGGGGGGGGGCTTCGGGCGCGGGGGCGGCGATGCGGCGGGCGGCGCGCGCGTCGGGAGACATTTTTTTTGGTTGGTTTGTCGCGAGATTGCATTCTTGAGGGTGGCTGGCTCGCGCCGTCGACGCAGGTGCGGGGGGGCGTCTGGGAGAGGCCTTCGCGAGGATGTCAGCTTGCTGAGGCAGCGCGGCGCCTGCAGGGCGCCTGTCTGCTTGCCTGCCTGACGCCGCCCGAACGCGCCCCGAGCCCGCCCGCCCCGCCCCCCTGGGGCCCCCGCGACGCCGCGGATCCTGCTTGGCCAACGCGCGCGGGCCCCCCTTCCCGCCCGCCCGCCCAGCTCTGGCCGGGCCCCCCGGCTGGGGCCCAGTTGGGGGAAGCGGGAATTTGAGTGATATTGTCAAAACCTGTCGTCAGAACAAACTTGCGAACGGGGTGGCAGCAACGACGTTTGTTTGCCCATGCCCAGCCAACGCGCGCGAGACTTGCAAAGTGGATTCCGCGCGCGTCGAGGCCCGTCGCTTCGATGACACTGCGAGGAGGGGTGCCATCAATATAGGGTTTATTCGAGCACTCGTGGGGCCTTTCGAATTCCCCCTCTTGGATCCTTCTCGGGGCCTCTTGGGCCTCTCTTGAAACTTTCCTGGGGCTTGTGGGCCTCTTCGGTCGTGTCGGACGCGGCGAAGACGACAAATGCTAGCATGCGAACCTCGTGCATCATTCGATGACGTTCCTTCCTTCAACCGCGAATGTTGTGGGTGGCCAGATATGTTTTATTGAATCGCTTCGCTCATTCCGCCGGCCCATAGTGTAGCGTCGCTGGCACTTGTTTGCGTGCTCGGGGGGGCATTTGGGTGGCCTCCTGGGGCCGCTTGGGGGCCTCTTGGGGGCCTCCTGAGGGCCTGTTGGGGGCCTCTTGGGGCCTCTTAGGGGCCTCTTGGGGCCTCCTGGGGACTTCTGAGGGCCGAGGGCTCGAAATATTGTTTCGTGTTCCCCCCCTGGGGTCCCTCTTGGGGCGTTCTTGGGGCCCTCTTGGGCCGTCTTGGAGGCCTCTTGGGCCGTCTTGGAGCCCTCTTGGGCCGTCTTGGGGCCCTCTTGGGGGCCTCTTGGGCCCTCTTGGGGCGGTCTTGGGGGCCTCTTGGGCCGTCTTGGGGTGTCGTGAAGCCGAAAAGGTGGAAACGCCAAAATCTCTCCAAAACCTAAGGAAAAGCAGTGAATTTTGCCTCTTGGGGCCCTCTCGGGAGTGCTCTTGGAGGCCTCTTGGGGCGTCTGGGGGCCATCGTGGGCGTCTTGGAGCGATCTTGTGGCATCTCGGACCCTTCATGTAGCATCTTGGGGGCCTCTTGGAAGCCTCTTGGCCCTTCTTGGGGCTCTCGGGGACGTCTCGGAGCCGCGTTGGTGCGCTGCTGGAGCGCCCTGGTGACTCCTCCCGGGACTCTCTCGGGACCTTGCCGGGGTACTTTCCGCCCGGGGGCCCCCAGGGGCCGCCCCGCGCGCGCGAAGTAGAAAGATTGTAAAGCAGCCACCGGAGATCTTAGCACGCCTCTGGCCCGTTGGGCCGGCGAATTACGGTGAATGTTTGTTCCAGAGAACTTGCATGCTGGCCGCCAGATTTCGGTGCCGTGCCGTGCCGTGCCGTGCCCGCGTGCCGTGCCGTGGCGTGCTCGGTTTCGAGAGCGTGACAACATTGTCGTGCCGTGCTGGTTTTTGTGCCGAGAGGGCGGGAACGTTGCTGTGCCGTGCTGTGCCCGCGTGCCGTGCCGTGCTGTGCTCGGCTTCCACGGTGAGATACAGTTGCCGTGCCCGTGCCGTGCTGCGCCTGCGTGCCGTGCCGTGTTTGGTCTCGAGTTGCCGTTCGGTGCCGTGTCCACGTTTCGTGCACTGCCATGTTTGTCATCGCTAAAACGGTACGGCTGCCGTGCCGAGCCGATTTTGGTTGAGAGAAATACGAAATAATAGTGGAAGCGTGCCGTGCGGTGCCCACGTGCCGTTGCGTGTCGTTGTGCTTTTGCTTCTGATCGTGCGAGGCAAGTGCCGTGTTGTGCCGTGCCCCAGTTTCGAGAATGGGAGCCATTGCCATAACATGCCGTTCTGTCCCGTACTTGCGTGCCGTGCCGTGCCGTGCTGTGCCTTGCCGAGCTTTGGGTTCGACAGTGCATGAACGCTGCTGTGCCGCGCTGTGCTTTGTTTGGTTTTGGGAGTGGGTAGAAATTGCCGTGCCGGGCCGTCCCGTGTTTGGCTTACAAACCATGCGCAGACGTTGCCATGTTGTGTCGTGCCGCGCCCCCGCGAAGGTTGAAACTCTTGTCGTGCGGTGTTGTTCCATGCTTGAATGTTGTGCCGTGCCGTGCCCGTGTGCCGCGCCAGCGTGGCATGCCGTGGCGTGCCGTGGCGTGCTTGGTTTCGAAAGTGCGAGAACGTTGCCGTGCCGTTTCGTGTCCGTGTGCCGTGCCGTGCTTTGCCGTGCTTGCTTTTGACAGTGCGAACGTTGCCGTGCCGTGCCCGCGTGCCGAGCCGTGCTGTGAGTGGTGTCATGAGTGCGCTCAGTTGCCGTGCCGTTCCGTGCCGTGCTGTGTTCTCAGAGTGCCAATGGTTACCGTGCCATGTTTTGCTTGGCTTCCACCATGCGGAACAGTTGCTTTGCCGTGCTTTGTCGTGTCTGCTTTCGAGAGTGCGAACAAGTTGCCGTGCCATGTCGACCGTGTGTCCCATCATGCGGAGTTAGCGTTGGGGTGTTTATGCCGCTGGGCGGACATAACAAATCGTGCCCCAGAACCATCGCAAACATTGAGTATACTCGCTGGGAAAACATGGAAGCATCGATTTTGAAGTTAGGAAATCCCGCTGCTGAGTACGTGGGTCTCACGGCGTGATCATTGCCAAAGTCATCGAGTAGGTGTGGCGGGCCCCGTACTCAGAAACACATCCAGCGTTTCCTACGCGCATCGTCCTTTTGGAACCATTCGGTTTTGCAGCAGACTTCTGGCATCCCGCTGTACCCCATCCATACTGATCTCTTCAATCCAGTTTCATGATATGACTCTCCGCCTCCCAATGCGCTCCAGGCTGCGAGCACCAGATCAGATATTCCATCGGCCCCTGGAAGGCTCTCAGGACGTGCGCTCAATTCTGCGCATGCGCGTCATGCCAGCTGCAGAGCAAGAGTGTACGAATTTTGGGCGTTCGCCGCCAGCATCACAGGGTTGACCAGCACCTTGCCAGGATAAGAGTGGTGCGGTCGTGAAAATTGAGTGCCGTCAGGCTGCATTCGTGCACGCTGTTCGTTGCACAATGTAGCTGTCGGAAATATCTTGTCATGCTATACTTTACGCGCGTGTGTAAGTAGAGATAGATTTTGTCTGTTTGTGTGTGTGTGTGTGTGTCTGTGTGTGTGTGTGTGTGTGTGTATGCGGTCGCTTGCATGTCTGGTTCGTCTCCCGCGCCCAGTGTTCCTGCTTCACCTTGGCCCGCCCCAAGTCCAGGAGTCCACGGTTGGGGTTGAGCGCTTGCGCCACACGTGCGTGTGTGATTTACGCCGGCGTCTCTTGGTAGCGTACGACGCGATCGTGCTGCGCATGGCCGCAGGAGGTGATGTGCGTGACCCTCCTGCGAGCTTGGCCGCGGCCGCCGCACCACCTTCTAGTTGCTCCCGCTAGCATGAGTCCGCCGCGTTGCTGCGCGTGTGTGCGTGACAGATAGCGGCCGCTTTGGGCCCGTGGTGATGCGCATGCGTTCTCTCTGGGCTCTTCGTCACCCGCTGCCCTGGCCCGTCTTGCCAGCCGGCACGCTGCTGAGCACCGACCGCCGCAGCGCTCAGAGGCCCTGAGTCGACTGCGGCCTCCACACCTGGCTAGCCTGCCCCAGCTGTCGGTTCTCCACCGTCCCGCTTGCTCTTGCGGGCCCCGCCCTGCGCGGCTTGTGCTGCCACTGGGGGATGTGCCAGCGCTGCTACGGATAGCCCTGGACCCAGCCCTTCAGGCGGGGTACCTCCGGCTGGCTACCCCACACGAGCTCGTCCTCTACCTCAGGCAGGGCGGCGACCTCGGCGCGGCCCCTCTCAACGCGATTGAGACCGCAGTGCAGTGCGGGGCAGAACTCAGTTGCCCCTCAAGCTCGGCACTGCGTCTCGAAGATCGGTACTCCGCGGACCACGACTACAGCCGCCACGCGCGCTGCGACTCTGCGCCGACGGTCCTCTCCGTCCCTCCGTTCGCCACTCCCCCGCCGGCCTCCGCGAGCGCCGCGGCGAGCACCCCTGGCAGCGACCGCGGGCTACGCTTCATCCTGAAGTGCCCTGAATCTCGCGCCCAGAGGTCCAATACAGGGCTGGACCTACGGTGTTTTTGCGATTTCGTGGGCCGTTTTCGTTTCGACTTCGTTCTGCGGCAAAGGCGGACTGAAGACAAAACGAGGGAAAACGAAAACAAAACGAAAACGAAGAACACCGTTTAGGTTCAGCCCTGGTCCAGTACCCACCGCCCCAGCTGCGAGCACGAAGTGCCCGACTCTGCAGTCATCGACGGGCTCATCCACCCCTCCGCGCGTGTCCTCTGGGATGCAGACCCGTCTTCTGGGGGACCAGGACCAGACCGCCTGCCCCCGGCCCTGCCCTTTGGCGCGCCTCCGCTGCCGCTGCAGCGGGTTCAGGACCTGCGTTCCCGACCTGCGGCCTCCCCTCAGCTTCGAGCGGTGGGGAACCTGCCTCGGCTGCGGCACGTACTTGGCAACGCTCCGGCTGGTGGTGCTCGCCCTGCTCTGGGAGGCTCAAGTCATGCTACAAAAGCATCAGGGTGCGGCATGGATCCTTCCCCTCCTGCAGCGCGACGCACGCAGCCCGCGGTGGGGGGCCCCCCCGCCGGCCCCCCCCGCCCGCGCGCCCCCCGGCAGGCCTCTAGCCTGGCGTTAGCTCGCCAGGGGCCCCCGCCCGCGACGCTCCAAAGTGTGTATGTGTGTGTGTGTGTGTGCGTGTGTGCGTGTGTGTGTGTGTGTGTGTGTGTGTGTGCGTGTGGGGTCTGTGCGTGCGTGTGCGTGTGTGTGCTTGTTTGTGGCGCGCGTGTTGCTGGCACTCCGGAGTACGCGCGCGGACATGCATGTGGGGGGATCGTGCCAGATTGGAGGTGCAAATGTACGTGAGTGTTGCGCGTCTTGTACGCGTGTCCAGGCATGCAGTGCTTACTCCCTGATGCCACGCTCGTTCGCGGAACAGCGGAGATATGAAGTCAATGTGCGCTCTGGATCTAGAGAGCAGTGATGCAATAGTCATTTCAATATCTCCCTCAGGAACGAGGTCTTGCGCATCCTTGGATGCGGTGCTCCAGGAAGGCGCTCAAGCGGATGGCATGGACAGCAAGCAAGACAGGCACCCGCACTTTTCCCGAAGCACGATGTACAGTACGAGGGAGGTGCGGTGAGACGGAGGGAAGGGTGGACGGGCGGAGGGGGAGAGGGGCCGAAGGAAGGAATCGAACAGTTGAGGTTTGGGCTTGGGGCGGCCTCCGTGAGAGGGTGGCCTTCCTTCTCTTCCCTTTGCCCTCGCAACTCTTTCCTTCCGCAGCGTATGGGCCTGCTGGCGCAACCGTTCGCAGCGCGATGCTTGCGTCATTCTGGGGCTCTGTTGGAACAGTTTTGTGCGCCTTCGGGCCCTCCTTTGGCCGATCTGGGAGGCCATCTGTCAAAAAGTATGGTTCTTCACTGTACTCCCCTTGTGGAGCCAGAAACACTGCCTCGCTGGGCGTTGTCCTGGAGCCATTCTGGGTTCTGGGCCTGTCTGCGGGATGTCAGGGGCCATCTTGAGGCCATCGCGTCAGAAATCCACTGCGAACATGCGATTCGAGGCAGAGTTTGTGCTATTGTTATCTGTTAATTGGCGATCTTCATCTTCTGCCACCGCAAAAGGCATTATCCAAGCATGCATCTGTGATGGCCACTTCATCTTTTCATTCAATTTTGGCCATCTGTTTGGAACCCAGCTTGCTTTGGTGCGGGTTTCTTGTCGCATGACCATCGTTCGCCATCACCCTCTACCGCATCAAGACGCAATGTATGAGTGAACTCCTCCCTCTCTCTCCCACTCGCCGTCGGCGCCTCTATCCGCCCTCTGCCTCTCCCTCCTCGTCGCTCTCCCTCTTCGTCCTCTCTTTCTCATCCCCGTCCTGTCCTCCTCCCTCCCCTCTGTTTCCTCTTCCCCCTCCTCGTCCTCTCCCTCTCCCTCCGCGTCGCCTCCTTCTTTCTCTCGGCGGCGCGCCCATGGGGGCAGTGAGAGGGGGCGGGCCGTCTCAGAAGGCTTCCTGTCTTCTGAGACGTTTTCTGAGCTTTCTCCTGAACCGCAGAGGGCATCTCAGAGAGGGGCTGGCCTCTTTCACTTTCACCCTCGGCGCGCCGCCGGCTCGCCCAATCCCCCGTCCCTCGTCGTCGCCGCCGTCCTGGGGCCTTTCCTTTTCTGTGCTCCCAAGTAGCCCAGCGGGCAACGCGTGACCCTGATACGGTGTCGAACTGTGGCACATTCTCGAAGCGAAGTTAGCTTGAGATTGCGATATTCCCTACTGCATCGACGAGTGGGCCCAGCGGACCCAGCTGACCCCCCTCTGCAGAGTCCTCAATCCATTTTTTCTCCTCATTTTTCATCCTCCCAGAGGATGAGGAGATCAATGGCGAACACTGAATTTCCTCCCTCCTCCTTCCGCCCTCCTCCGCTGGTACTTGCAGGCAGGTGCTTCCTGTCATGGTGAATCCGCTGGTACGCTGAGGTGCTCTGTAGCTTGCCTCAATCTCGAGATTAAGCAGAAACCGCAGATATGCGACCTAACAGCTTGCAGTATCAAGTTTGTGTTTCGACTAGGACAGACCGGGGTATTACGATCTCGGCGCCCTGCTCATCGCTCATGTGTTTTTGCCATTGCGAATCGATCGGCATGCTGGAGAGAGAGCTCTGCAGCCTGCCTAAATCTCGAGAATCAACTGCAACCAACATGAAACAGTATTGACCTAAATGTTCGGTTATAAAAGATGCACTGAGGTGTCGACGTGCACTTCATCTCAAGCTCGGTGGAAACAAATATCAAAACAAACACTTCTTGCCTCGGTCACTTCTCCTCCGCTTCTTCTGTCGCGACCCCTCATTTCCCCTTCCCTCTTCACCCTCCCCTGCTCCCCCTTTTTCTTCAACGCTCTAACCTCTTGTCCCCATTCGTTTCTTTTTCCCTGCGCCACGGCGCCGTCGTCGTCGTCGTCGTCGTCGTCGTCGTCGTCGTCGTCGTCGTCGTCGTCGTCGTCGTAGTCGTCGTAGTCGTCTCCCGCCCCGTGATCCTGCTCGCTCTCTGGACCGTTTTGGAGAAGTTTTGGGGGCGTCACGGAGGCCCCCCATCACCAGAATGACGACCCCAGACGCCCAGGACAGCTTCCAAAAACCGAAGGTGGCCCAAGGCCGCCCCGAGAGCGCCCCTGCGACCTTCCAAAGAGCGCCTCGAGATGGCCGGAGAGGGCCCCGAGACAACCCGAGAAGACCCCGCGACTGCCCAAGATGGCTCCGCCCAGGATGGACAACATCGTATCGCGGGAATTCTGCGGAGGTATCTTGGATGAATCTGGGAGGTCCAAAACAGGGACGACGATGATGACATCCACTAGGACGAAGACGAGCCTCAATCATGTTCGCAGCCATCGTCATGTTCTGTGCGTCGCATATGGTTGGGGCGTCAACTAGAACCTAAGCGCGCGCGAAGCGCGCGCGTGGGTTTCTTTCTTTGTCTCTCTCTCTCTCTCTCTCTTTGTATGTGTATATATATATGTGTATATATATATATATGTACACATTGCAGCTGCAGCCATATGAGCTGCACCAGTCAACGTGCAATTACTTGTTACGCTGCCCCTCGATGCTGCTCGCAGCGGTCGGGGCCGGTACGACAAGTATCGCGCCCCGAGTGTCGGTTCCCCGTTCTCTTCATGCCAAGTTTGAGTGGTGATTTGCGGCTTTCGGACACGTGGTTGCTGTCATGTCTTGCTCAGCCTTCCTCGCCGTAGTTTCGTTTTTTGTTTTTGTACGGGTCCGAAGCGAATTTTCTACAGGGGATGACCATCTGCATTCTCACAAACGTTTTTCAAAGTTCACGCAGTCTTGCAGAAACCGATCCCAATTTCTCATATTGTCCAGGCTGATCGCGTCGAGCAATTAGCTGCCCTGCGGCCCAATTCTTCGAGCTCGCTTTTTCATTTGTGTAGACCGGATGCCGGCGGTCAGCCGTCTTCCTCGTTTTTGCGTTTGCGAGGCGCTTTGAGCAAGTCAGTTGCTGACCCAGCGCAGCGTTACCAAACGTGACGACGGAGCCGTATACAGACTGGATGCAGCAGCACGTTTATTTCACATCAGGTTGTGCAAGCGTAGCTTTAGCTCCTTCCACCTCCCTCTTGCTGCCACAGGGTCATCCCCAAGAGCCGGGTGTACACCGCCGCGGGCCACCCTGTCTTGCACCACCAGGACCGCGGGGCAGCGATGGTCAGGCCCCCTCGTGGGTAGGAGGAGGCAGAGTTTTTTTGTTTGTCAAGGTTTGTTGTTATTGATCGAAGTGTTTTTATCGACGTGCCCCTCGTGGGGTTCTCACTCTGCTTTGTATAAGGCTCGTCTTGAGACGTAGACTGTGTTGTTGGCCCTCGGTTTACAAAACGGCGGCTCCTGCTTGATGCGTCTTCACAATTTATTGCGACATCGGACTTTCGCTAAAGGATTCCTTGCAGCTTGTCTTGTATAGGAATCAAGCTCTCGCCTTGAACTTCGTTCTTTCACTGCTCACGAATCGCTTTCTCGGCGTTCTGGAGTCGCGCTCTCGCTCAAGAGTTCCTTATTTACTCGGGAACCGCGCTCTCGCCTGAGACTCCCTAGCAATCCCCTCTTGCTGATCCCTCTTGTTAATCCGTCTCATCTTCTATCTTCTACCACTTCAGGGGAAACTGATTGGGGTTCATCTTAGTCTGTACATATGTCCGCTGCCGTTTGATCTCGGGTGCCCTAGGCACGCGCGCCCAGTATGCCCAAGTGCTGACCGTACTTGCTATTTGCGGCCCACTTAGCACCTCTCTGGGGCGGAACACTTTCTTTCTTTCTTTTGACCCGATACACCCACCCTGCGCCACCACTCCGACAGTACCTCCGAGGATATTTTCATGTATTATCGGAGGCCGAGTATCAAGGCCACCAATCAGACTTAGGAGACGAGCTATTTTCGGCTGGCCATCACAGCCGACACCTCGGTAACGACTGGATGTCAGCCGATTTGGGCACACCATTCACTACTAGTTTTAGATATGTAAAAGACATGAATGATACCAGAGAAAAACCCAATCATAATCTTTTTAGGGCTGTAGGGCTATAGGGCTACAGGGCTATATGGGCTCTTGGGCACTATATGGGTATATGGCTATATGGGTTATAGGGCTATAGGGCTATAGAGCAGGGCAATAGGGATATAGGGCTATAAGGCTATAGGGCTACAGGGCACCGGGCACCTGGGCACCCGGCACCCGGCACCCGGGCACCAACCCGGGCACCAGGCACCCGTCACCCGGGCACCTGGGCACCCGGGCGTCCGGGCACCCCGGCCCGGCCACCGAATCGGCGGCGACCCCAGGCACCCGGGCACCCGAACACCCGGGCCCGGCCACCGAATCGGCGGCACACCTCACCTACCCTTAAATTTGCTAAGACCCCTACAGAGGCAAGCTCTGATTGGGGAACATGCTATAACCTACACGCTTGGAAACAAGCAGCTTAGACAGAAGCAGCCTGGAAGCGGGCCGCTCAGAGGGGGGCCGTATCCTCGGCCCCCGAAGAGAAAGCGTCGTCTGACGATCGCATCGGCGCTGGGCATTACACCACATTTCCGGTGCAACTGGGCGTCATAATGTTCGCAACCATATGGCTTGCAATCGGCGCAGCCATTGGTTACATGCATAACGGCAATGCCAGCACTAGCAGCAGGGGGCCATATCGGTTCTCTCAGGGTATGCACCCATCCGACATTGGGTATTGGAAGTGCATGCGTGATTTAGTGCCACTAGTGGCCGCATGACACGACAACAACAAACCTCTGCACTACAGCGCGACCTCGGTAGTACGGCCACGCCCACTGCTATGCGAATCCCAAGTGTCGTCATCAAGTATGATGTTGAAGTTGGTGCCGAACAGACAGTCTCATATACATCGTGTTCCCATTCAGCGCCCGATTCGAATCCTTCGGAGATGAAAGACAACTAATTGACGCCAGGTTTTCAGCCCATTCGCTTTCACAGATCTGGGCGAACGAACAGAGAAGACGTTAGCGATATGCGAACTTACTATATCAGAAGCCCAGTCAGTAGGCTGTGATATTCCTATCTTCCAATTGCTCACCACGGTCCTCTTCTGGGCTCTCGGGATCTCTCCCCAAAGAGCCGCTACACTACTACAACCTGTGAACGGACCAACGCCACGAACTCCAAAGAAGCACGACGACCTTGTTGAGCGGGCGCGCCCAATGGAGCGCATCCTAGATCGCCCCCTGGGAAACATGGGGAGCATCTTTGGACGGGACATGGCAGAGGACGCGACTCAATGCATAGTGAGGGCCAGCGGGCGAAGGCCCAGCCTAATAATCAATGACCGACGACACCTCCCCTTCCGTACAAAGCTGGGGAACGCGAGACCCTACGCTTGGACCGCCCCAGCCTTCCATCGTCCTTTGGGGCGGCGCTCGCGGATCACAGGGGCCCCCTGGGTCGCCAATGGATTCAGGTACAGACGCCAATGCCATCTCATCCGACGGCATGGGATACATCGTTTGGTCAGATAACACTCAATTTGCAAATCAGGAAGAGGCAGTCGAAGTCCTGTTGCGGGTTGCTCATCGTTCTAAACGACGATGGCGACGATGAGTGAAGAAACCGACGCGTAGGGTTGGACGTGAGATCCGACGTTGGGTCTGTGGTAGAATATTGGGAACCAAACAGTAGAAAGCGTTTGCATGGAAGAGGTGATGACGACTACTTCGAGACACGGTGTACCCAGGAAATGGAGTTAGGACGTTTGGCAACGGGAAAGGCAAAGGGGGAAACCCTAGAGTCCGCGACGGGCAACCCATGAAATGGTTCACGTGACACTTGCGGTACGTCTCAGTACCTCGTCATGAGTTGCGCGCAAGGCAACAGGAATTGCAAGGGCGGGGTTCCGCAGCCACGACAGACGCGACGACGTCTGTGTGGACTTGATGACACTACTAACGCCGACATCTTCATGATGGGCGCAGGCGGGACCATGGGCGACGGCCGCCAATGTGTCGCGCAACCGCGCGGCACCGACGCACGGAGCGGCCGCAGATAGGCGGAGCGGGAACAACAGGGCCACGTCATTCAATCTCTCTAGCCCCGTTGCCGCAGACATGGATGTGGGAGTCAAGTCTGGCCGCAGCGCCGTCGACGCTGCCCTGCGTGGGAGACGAATACCAACTGGGGTTCTACCCCGCGCGACTCCGACGGCGAGCGCCCGCAAGTCACCAACGAAATGGCCAAGGGCCTTCGGCGGAGCCCCTTTACGGATACACCGATCGTCCGACGGGGTGTGCCGCAATGGGCATGCGGTGGGCAGAAGCAGGGGTGTGAGGAGGGGGAAGGAGGAGGGGGGGGGGAGGAGGAGGAGAAGGAGGAGGAGGAGGAGGAGGAGGAGGAGGAGGAGGAGGAGGAGGAGGAGGAGGAGGAGGAGGCGGAGGATGATGATGATGAGGAGGAGGAGGAGGAGGAGGAGGAGGAGGAGGGGGAGGGGGAGGGGGAGGAGGAGGAGGAGGAGGAGAGGAGGAGGAGGAGGAGGAGGAGGAGGAGGAGGAGGAGGAGGAGGAGGAGGAGGAGGAGGAGGAGGAGGAGAGGAGGAGGAGGAGGAGGAGGAGGAGGAGGAGGAGGAGGAGGAGGAGGAGGAGGAGGAGGAGGAGGAGGAGGAGGAGGAGGAGGAGGAGGAGGAGGAGGAGGGAGGAGGAGGAGGAGAGGAGGAGGAGGAGGAGAGGAGGAGGAGGAGGAGGAGGAGGAGGAGGAGGAGAGGAGGAGGAGGAGGAGGAGGGAGGAGGCGGAGGAGGAGGAGGAGGAGGAGGAGGAGGAGGAGAGGAGGGAGGAGGAGGGAGGAGGAGGAGGAGAGGAGGAGGAGGAGGAGGAGGAGGGAGGGGAGCAGGAGGAGAGGAGGAGGAGAGGAGGAGGAGGGGAGGAGGAGGAGAGGAGGAGAGAGAGAGGAGACCGAGGAGAGAGGGAGCAGGAGAGAAGGAGGAGAGGGGAGGAGGAGAGGGGGAGGAGGAGAGAGGGGGAGGAGAGGGAGGAGGAGGAGAGGAGAGGAGGAGGGAGGAGGAGAGAGGGAGGAGGAGAGAGGGAGGAGAAGAACCGGAGTTGGAGAGAGGGAGGAGGATAGCGGGAGGATGAGAGAGGCAGGAGGAGAGAGGGATGATGCAAGAGGGAGGAGGAGAGAGGGATGAGGAGATAGGGAGGGGGAGAGAGGGAGCAGGATAGACGGAGCAGGAGAGAGGGACGAGGAGAGGGGGATGAGGAGATGGGGGTGGAGGAGAGAGGGAGGAGGAGAGCGGGACGAGGATAGAGGGAGGAGGAGAGAGGGAGGGAGAGAGGGAGGAGGATTGAGGGTGGAGGCGAGATGGAGGAGGAGGAGAGAGGGATGATGAGAGAGGGAGGAGGAGAAAGGCAGGATGAGAGAGGGAGGATGAGAGAGGGAGGAGGAGCGAGGTATGAGGAGAGAGGCAGGAGGAGAGAGGGAGGATGAGCGAGGGAGGAGGGGAGATGGATGCGGAGGAGGAGCGAGGGAGGAGGATGAGATGGGGAGGAGAGGAGAGGGAAGAGGAGAGAGGGAGGATGAGAGAGGGAGGAGGAGAGAGGGATGAGGAGAGAGGGAGGAAGATGATGAGGAGGAGGAGACGGCGGTGGAGAAGGAGGAGGAGGAGGAGGAGGAGGAGGAGGAGGAGGAGGAGGAGGAGGAGGAGAGGAGGAGGAGGAGGAGGAGGAGGAGGATGAGGCGGAGAAGGAGGAGGAGGATGACGAGGCGGAGGCGGCGGCAGAGGCGGAGGCGGAGGGAGGTGGAGGAGGAGGAGGAGAAGGAGGAGGAGGAGGCGGATGATGATGATGATGAGGAGAGGAGCAGGAGGAGGAGGAGGGAGGAGGAGAGGAGGATGAGGAGGAGGAGGAGGGGGATGGGGAGGGGGAGGGGGAGGATGAGGAGGGGGAGAGGGAGGGGGAGGGGGGACGATAAAGAGGAGGCGGAGGAGAAGGAGGAGTAGGAGGGGGAGGAGGGGAGGAGGAGGAGGAGGAAGATGAGGAGGAGGCGGAGGAGGAGGAGCAGGAGGAGGAGGAGGGGGATGAGGAGGGGGAGGAGGAGGAGGAGGAGGAGGATGCGGAGGCGGAGGCGGAGGCAGAGGCGGACGAGGAGGAGGAGGAGGAGGAGAAGGAGGAT